TTACAATTCAGCAAGTATGTTCTGATGGTTTTTATCTTTTGCTTAATGAAATGGTCTGCAACTAAATCTTTGGTTTTTTTCTTTTTTCTGTTGTGTTGTTGTTGTTTGTTTTGTTTTGTGTTTTTTTTGTTTGTTTGTTTGTTTGTTTTCTGGAAATGTTCCTGTATTTGTATTCTTCCTCTGCTCACATCACCTGCATGCCGTTTATGTTGGTCTGAACAAGTTAGGCCATTTAGAATATTTCACTCCTAATAGCTGGGTGAGGACCACACCTTGGGAAGTACGTTTGGATGTCTGTTTGATTCATTAGGGTGGGGAAGGATCTTTTGAAGATTGTCCCAGCCTTTTTACATACTGGTATGCTTCCTACTTTCTTAAGGATTAAGTAGAACAAGGATCAGTCTCTTTATCTCTGCAAAAGGCTTATAGTATGAATTGTGTTTGCCAAAGATGCCATGTCAAATAAGACTTTGTTTCTAATTCCTTTGAAACAAAAATAAGTATCCCTGCCATATTTTTCTCCTGACAAAATTGTTAGCTTTAAACAAGCCCTAATAAAGATGACTTCACCTTGACACTCAGCATGTGATTTGGAGAACAGAGGTGGTTCTTGGATTGCACAGCTCATTCTTAACATGGTCTTGTTCTGGAGGGAGGAGAGACCTATGTGCTCCAAGCTAAGCAGAACTGGCACTGGGAGTCAGATGTTAATTTTGATTTTTCATTGCAATGGTGATTTGCTTTCCTAAAAACAAAAATCACAGCCTATTTAGATCTGATCTTCAGTGCTGAACATGGTGCTAGGCTTTTGATGTTTGAGTTCCCAGCTCCTAAATCCAGCTGTCTGTGAGTCCTCAGTTCCTCTGCAAAGTGGGCCCTACCTGGCCACTCCAGATCTGAGCATACAATTGAGTTATTGAGAAATGAGCTAAGGAATTAAGGGTATTTGTTTACTGTTTATCATCAGTTCTGTGGTACTAGGCTATTCGCACTTAACATGTGGTAGAAATGTGCATGGAAACAGACCTCAAAAGAAGATGGCACCCTGCAAGTATCTGTCCTGCTAACTGGAAGTTAATTGCCTGGGCACAGCCAGGGAGCAAGGATAGTGTCTTAAAAGTTAGAGTAACGCCTGGTTAGCGGGCCTGATGCTCTGGTTGCCCCTGCAGATTGTCTCTTCTTTGTCCTTGTTTTCTCTCATAAAAACTTCCTTGTGGTGCTTCCCAGGGCTAGTAGGAGGAATAAGCAGATAATATATATAAAATCTTTGAAGATGAATAGTGCTAATAATTATGTATAGGTATTCATTCTCACCCTGGGTAGTTCACCTTGATCATAGGCATGAAAAGAAACCAGGATATTTGTAAGCTGGTCAGGTTTGAGTATGGCCTTTTGAAGTCTATGTACTTGTTTCCCTTCTGGGTTATGAGCATGACTGCAATGTATCTGTCATGCTAAACAACTACGTTGGGTATTTATTATATCAGCCAGATCCAAGTCATTAAGGAATGCTTCCTTGTTTGCCTTAATTCTTCTGACACGTAACATAGGATTTGGACATGCTGAAAGGGGACAGGAGACAGGAAAATGTCATTAGCCAGGCCCAAGTTTGATTATCAGCACGGCTGAATATTCATCTTTCTGTGGATTAATGATGAAAATCAGGCTTGGTGCTGATGAGGACCACCACAATTGTGAAGAGCATTTGTTTTTGAATCTTCTCTTAGCTTGTGCATCTTTCACTGGTGCTAAAAATAGTGTAGTGGAAAAGAATGAGAAGGGTGTTAACCAGCTGAGGCTTTTTTTTTTTTTTTCCTGAAATTCTGTTAGGCAGATTAAGCAAAAAAGGGGGAAAATGAAAGTAACATAGTATCTACATATCTAATAATACTTGTGTAAATGGTTTATAAGGTATTGCAGCAGAAGACTGAATGGCATGCAGAATCTCTTGAACTGTGTGTAGATTTAATTGCAAAGCTTAGAGTGATTGCAGAAAAGGTTCGTCTTGTTACAGATTGCTACATTCATCAAATCCAATTTGATAATTACGAAAATTCAGTTTGGGTGTTTCATGCTGTTTGACATCAGTTAAATACTGCTTATAAGGCAGGCTTCTTGTGAAGTTATAGAATGTATGTGTTTCTTGATAAATCTGCTGTTTGCCAGCATAATAACTGTTTATTGGTCTAACTCCCTGCCTTAAGTCTCCCCTCTGAAGTAATGTATTAAATAATTAAGAGATTGTTCAGGTGCCTTGAGGGGAGCTTGTTGGCCAAGCTGCATTGACAAAGCTGTATTGACAGAAAGAGGCATAAGTAAATTTTATGCTTACCAAATTTGCTTCGTAGAGTTCTCACTTCACAGGGCAAAGTCTGTTCCCAAGAGAGTATGGTGGCATCTCAGTTGTATCAGGGAGCTTGTTTCTGTATGGAAAAGGTGGGGTAAGGAGGACCCAGGAGGCTGTTTGCGTTCTTCTGTGTGACTAGCCAATCTCAAGCACTGAGCACGTGAAGGGCTTTTCCAAGAAGATCCTTTATCTGTGCTACAAAGACCTTGCATTTCCCACATCTCAAAACACCTTTGCCTAAGTAAATCAAACTGCAGCTTTTAAAAATATGTTTAAGCTTGCTGTACAGTACCAAATTTTAAAACATTTTGGTCAAAAAAATATAGCATAATCATAATGTATGCCATTCAGTGAATGATTCAAATCATAAAACCCACAACATTAGTTGTATAAATAGGTTAATATCTGCAGTCTGGAAAGCTCTGCTTCCTCACAATAATTACAATAGGCTATATAAAATAGAGGAGTGGTTTATTTTTGCTGTTGCTTTTGAAATTGTCGATTCTGAAATAGACTTAAAGTCTATTTTTTTTTTTTCACCTGAGGTTTTGTATAGTTATGTGTTTTAAATTGGGGCTATTTCAAACTTTTTTTCTGCATGTTCTCTGTTTAGTCATTTACACAGATTGTTCCTTGGACAGTAGGTTTATCCTGTAGTTGTATGAGCGGGACAGTTTGTGCCATGTGCATGTGATTGTTATGGTAGTGCATTCTGCTTAGATAGTGGGGACTTTATCCTTGTGGGTCCCTTCCATCTCAGGATATTCCATGATTCTGTGACTCCACAAACCCATGGCCCACAAGAGGACTGCTGGCCTTTCTTACTACATCTTTGCTGCTCTGACACGTGAGAGAAGAGGGCAAAAGATTGCAGGGGCTTATTTTCAGCAGGGTTGTGGTGCCCTTTGCTCAGGCAACAGGAGATGGATTTGTGCACATGTGAATGCAGGCAAGGCAACCTTGAGGTTTCTGATGAGACTGCTGAGGGGGCTCCCTGGGTGCACATTAGCACAGCTTGGAAAATAGTGGGAGAGGGTTTTTTTGGGATGTGATGACAGCCCCAGTCAGTGCTTGATAATTGGTGAGAGTGGGATAGTGAAGAAATGCATGCTATTAAGCTTGCTGGAGCTAACATGAGCCTTGTAGGCTCCTCTTGTTGCTGTTCTTACCAGCCAGGGCCTTAAGGGGGAAAAAAAAAAAGCAACCAAAAAAAAAAAAACCAAAAAAAACTTTTAATGTGTTTTTGCTGATGCCTGAAGTCTTCCTTCTGATGAATATCACATGATGTGTAAGCAACAGATTTTCTAAAAATATACAGATAATAATGCTGACAACTTAGTATTTGCTTTAGGAAACAAGAGGAAGCAATGCTATCCCTTTTAAAATTTCTAATTAAGAATGAAATGCTTTCACAGACTGCAACTAACAGTGGGCTTGAAACTGACCACTGAACTGTTCATACTGTCTTTATCGCCAGTATGTTTTGACCATAAAGTTTGCCAACTCTTATTTATCATTTTGTTTTATTAGACCTGTTTTTTGTCTGGTTTATGTTGAGCCATGTCAGTGCTCTGCCATGCTTTTTAGCTGGCGCCTGTGAGCACAGGAGTCTTCAAGCAGCCAAGAAAAAAAAAAAAAACAACACGGGAGTTGGGGGAGTGTTACTGGGTAAATTCATTATTAAGGAAATCAGTGTTTTGTGTTTGAGAGAGTGAAAAGAAAACACTGGGAGCCAAGAAAGGAGAGCTATTTCTTGCCCAAGGCAATAGCAGGGGAAAAAAACTGCAAAGGGGGAGAATGAGGGAAAGAGACAGCAGAAGCAATCTATTAGGAGATACAAAATAATGGAATGAAGTGAGAACAGAGCAGAAGAGAGTCTTAAAAACGGGAACAAGAAAGACGAATTTAACTTGAGGGACCAGAACAGTAAAAAGGAAGACGTTTAAGAGCATATTCTGGAGTAATAATTAAGATTTGAATAGTAATGGTTAAAGTGCTGTGTGTAAAAAGGCAGAGTCAAGGTGTGATATGTATAAGGCAGCTGCAGCCATGGCTGTTCTACTTTTTTGTAGGTCTGGATTGGGTTCGATAGCAGGGGTGAGCACTATGTGACAGGAGGGGGATAAATCAAGAAAGAGGAAGATGAGATGTCTGGGAGTAGGGAACCTTCTAGCCAAACCTGAATGCCTGAGCTTTTATCTGGGCCACTGTTACAGTCCAGGCTACAGCAAAGTTACAGAGCTCTCTTTTGCTAGTCCTGGGAATTGAAAGATTCATAAATATTTTAAAGGGCTGTAGTTGGCTGGAATTCAGGCAATGGCCAGTAAGTTACTTGCAGGAACGTGTGTGATCTGAAGATGTCAGTGGTTTTAGACTTCAAAAAAAAAAAATAATAATCCAAAGGACTATAGGTGAAATAGACCCTTGGTTACTTTAAACCTGCCCCCCTCCCCCTCCCCTTTTTTTTTTTTGTCCCCTCTCTAGGTTAGTGTAGGGGCATGAATAGCATCGCAAGCCTCTCCAAAGCTCAGTTAAGACTGTAGAAATGCCTTTTGACCCTGAGGACTTTGCTCGCAGTACCAGATACAATGAATTGAGCTTTGCTGCTTGAGAGCTCCTTCCAAAATAAACAACATGGTATTTCTTCTCCTAGCTCTTCTCTTAGGAAACGCAGTCAACACCTAACATCACGGAGGCCCAGCATGAATGTTAACTGTGCTGGTGGGACAGACTGGTCAAGAAATCTGGAGTCCAGCTGCTCTGTGGAAGATGTAGCTGCAGCAGACCACGAGTCAGGAGAAAGTAATGTGGTGCTAGGAGGTCATAGCCCATCTGCAGGTCCTAGAACTGAGGGTGAGGATAATGTCTTTACCTTATGCTAATCTTCAAGGGAGGTGTGGTGTGTGTTTTTTTTTTTTTGTGTGTGGGGGGGTGTTCAATTTTTAGCTATGTGTTACTTGTCAGCATTAGGCATACTGTGTTCATGTATTCCTGGCCTTCTTTAATTCCTGTGCTCCTGCTCTTTAGCAATGGAATCCATCTTGATTTAATAAGTAGCATTAAGCATGGGGTAATTCTTTATCCAAAATGCAACTGCTTGCTCAGTTTGAAAATACAGCCTAGCCTTATGTCATGTAACATCATTCTGACAGTTATGTATATTGACATCCTTTGCTATTGTATGATTTGGTTTTCTCATTGCAGTACAAAGCATTACTATTAAATAAAGTTTTTCAGCAAACTATATTTTACCTCTACAGTATTTGTCTCTGTCAGGTTTAGATTCTGAATGCCGACATACTGCTTGTCCAGTGAGTCCCCAGATCAGCAATATGTTGTCTGCTTCTGAAGATACACACAACTGTCATTTTCAAGATGGAAGTAAAAGACAGACTGAATATTTTAATAGCCAGGAACGCCATGGATGCACCACTTTGTCTTCAAGCATCAACTCACAGACAGTGACTCCAGAGAAAGTGACACTTGTGGTAGATGGCACTCGATTTGCAGTGAACCCACAGATTTTCACTGCTCACCCTGATACTATGCTGGGAAGGTAGATTATTTCCACCATTTTCAAGACACCTCAAGAGGGTCAAATGCTTGCTGAAGTGTAATAAACCTGTAACATTTGTGTTGTGGTCTCATCTGTATGCACAAGGGAAGCAAGTTTGACCTCATTCAGAACCTGCCTGTTAGTAAGGCCTTGAAGACGTGACCAGATGTAGAGAGAGCACCTTGGTAGTTCTCTAGATAATGTTTATCTCTTCAGTCCTCTTCCTTCAAACTGGGCACGTCTAGCTAGACACGGTTTGCTTTTGCCTTCTCCCCAAGTGTTTGCCTTGCTCATAAGTAGTACACCTGTTGACAACTGATAACTTAATTCCTTCCGTAATGGGCAAAAAGATCATGCTTCATCTCCTCCTCCTGCTGTTATCTTATAGTACTGTCCCATGGAAGAAGTCATTCAGCTCCCTGTAAGATGCATTAGAGATTGGACCCTGTTAATGTAAAAAGAAGCATTTATTTTCTGTATTGCCAACGCTTTCACCCCTGTCTCTTGACATAGAGCCTGGTTCTGTTGGGCTGATGACTCTTGCAGGTTGTAATGTAAAGCAAGCGATCAAAAGGCATGTGACTGTTATCTTGCATATCTCCAGTGAAAGGTCTTTATCCACAGGGAGTTTTCTGACCCAGGGTTGAATGATCTGTTTCTTTGAGCTGTGACTTGTTCCATGCAATGCAATAGCTATAGCGACAGAGTCCAGCTGTAGCAGGATTTAGCTGAGACAGCTCTTTTGTTTATTTACTATGTAAGAGATTTGAGTATTGGTTTCAAGTTACTGTGTATAAGTGTCACTCCTGGTTTTGTTTAAACTCAATGCACCTATTGGTCTTTAGAAAGAATGAATTTAAATTTACTTGTGCACTTAACGTAAACTTATGTATATCTGTTCAGAATGTTCGGACCAGGAAGAGAATATAATTTCACCAGGCCAAATGAAAAAGGAGAATATGAAATTGCAGAAGGAATTAGCTCAGCTGTGTTCCGGACTGTGCTGGTAAGATGATGTTTGCAGACTAGAGGGGAGGAAAAAAAAAACACACAATTGATTTGTCACATGTGCAAAGCTGAGCTATCTCCCAGGCAGCTGCATACCCCCAGGACATATTCTTTTACTACTGTTTTGCATTGTGATTATGAAAAAGTAGTCAATTTTTGTGTGACACTTTTCCTGTGTCATAATGTTGTAGTTCCTAGGCTCTGTTCTGCCTTTGTAGTTACCTATAAATGCACATTGCATATGAGATGTTATGAAATTCTACAGGAAATGTTATGAAAATCACAGGAAGAATTTTTTACTGGAGCTCACAGTTTATCAGACCCTAGAGGATCTGTGAAGAGATGTAGGTATATTCTCAGACAGGCAGGGCTGTTTCTACTGTTCGCTGAAACTCAAACAAAAAGTGTTCATCAACAAAACACAAAGCTAATTAAAAATGATCAGTTCACACAATTTTAATTTTCTCACCCAAAACTGTCCTTTTATTTGCAGGATTATTACAAAACTGGAATTATTAACTGTCCTGATGGAATTTCCATCCCAGACCTTAGAGACACATGCGATTATCTCTGCATAAACTTTGACTTCAACACAATCAAATGTCAAGATTTAAGTAAGTATAAAGATAAAATCAGCTCTTCTGAGATCATCTGCGTGGTGTTGAGCGCTATCATACTGATTCAGTGTGGTTCTTACATGCTTTAGTCTAAACATGAGGGTGTGGACTCCACTAGTATGTGTTGCATTTAACCAGCTTCCTTTTTTTTTTTTTTTTTTTTGCTTCATCAACCAAAAGTGAACTGATTTAATCCTACAGAACACAGACATTTTGCTCAGAAAAGCAAACTGAAATTGTAAAAATTCTTCCCCGTCTCTGTTATGAGAGGAGAGTAGAAGAGCTTGCTGTTACAGCCAAGTAAAATGAAGGGTAAAAGCAGGTTTATAATCCCCATCTAAAACATACCAGAAAATTGAGGATAATTTAAGCAGAAAGATGTAGGTGCGAAAAACACTCAGGTAGGAAAGCAGTAGAGAGTTCTTAGTCGTGAAGAAATCTGATTGGGAGAAGCTTTTTGGAGGGTATACTGGGTGAAAAAAAAGAAAAAGTACTTCTAATGTAGCCAAATCGGTAAAAGGTCCTATGCTGAAATGGGACATGATATCATAGCACAGGCCTTGTAATTTCCAACTGTTCTGATGAACAATCACAGACAAGGCAGAAAATCTGCGTTCAAGGTCAGAGATGATTGCTGGAAATTTAAGTTAAGGATAAAAACTAACTTGTTTCTTATTTCACTTTATTGATTGGACCTTGGTGTGTTTTTTTTTTATGGTAATGTAATGGTTCTAAGGTATAATTTGCATCCCATCCCAAAATGCAGTCTCATATTTGATTTTATTTCCAGTTCTAGAGACTAATGATGCATCTGAACATATATTGAGGAGTTTCTGTAATGAAGAATGAGGGCTGTGCTCTTGAATGTATTAGGAAACTGTAGGTCTGGGACATATTTTCATACTGTATGCATATGTATACATGTATGTGTAAAAAAAAAAAAAAAAAGGCTCATCATGTAATGTATGCCTTATTAGGTGCTCTGTTACATGAGCTCTCCAATGATGGTGCTCACAAGCAGTTTGACAGCTACCTGGAGGAGCTAATTCTGCCTATAATGGTGGATAGTGCTAGGAAAGGGGAACGTGAATGCCATATCGTCGTGCTGACAGATGAAGACACTGTGGACTGGGATGAAGATCATCCACCTCCAATGGGCGAGGAGTACTCACAAAGTAAGGACTCTACGTTGGAGCTGCTGGCTGCTTGTTCAGTTCACACACAGACATATGGCCACTAGGACCCATTGCCTAAACAGTAGTCTTTCTCCTGGTGGAGAGGCTGGCATATGATGTCCTGTTTTGTACGTTCCCTCTGAATTGGCTGCTGCTAGAGTCAGGATACCAATCTGTCTAGTTACAGCTTTAGTTTGAGTGCCTGCAGTGGTAACAGACAGTGCTCACTGCATTTTTTGCATTTGTTTACTGCCTCTCCCCCCCCTAGCCTTTTGCTGGCTCCCTGGTGACTGAATACTCTTCTTTATACACCCATCACCACCTGTCTATCCAGAATGTAATGTGTATCGCTACTGTTGTGGTTTAACCTGGCCAGCAGCTAAACACCACACAGCCGTTTGCTCACCCTCCCCCTTCCTCTCTGGGACAAGGGAGAGAAATGGAAAGTGAAGCCCGTGAGTTGAGATAAAGACAGTTTAATAAGACAGGAAAATAACAATAACAATAATAATAATACAATGGTGATAATAGTACTACTACTAATAATATGTACAAACAAGTGATGCACAATGCAATTGCTCACCACCAGCTGACCAATGCCCAGCCTAACCCCGAGCAGTCCGGCGCCCCTCCCCTGGCTAGCCACCCCTATATATTGTTTAGCATGACATCAGATGGTATGGAATACCCCTTTGGCTAGTTTGGGTCACCTGTCCCGGGTCTGTCCCCTCCCAGCTCTTACTGCACCCCCAGCCTGCCTGTTGGCAGGACAGAGCAAGAAGCTGAGATGTCCTTGGCTCGGTATAAGCACTGCTCTGCAACAATTAAAACATCGGGGTGTTATCAGCACTCTTCTCATCCCAGGCCAAAGCACAGCATTCCACCAGCTACTAGGAAGAAAATTCTGTTCTAACTGAAACCAGGACAGCTACACTGCCACCAAGGAATCATAGCTAAACCTAGTGATGAGAAGCAGTTACTGGAAACCAGACCTGCTTTTTTGTCACCCCCACAGCTGAGAGTGTGTAACAGGGTGAAGGTCCTTCCTTGCAGATTCTAATTACCTTTTTTATTTCTCAAGTCCTTTACAGTTCCAAATTGTACAGATTCTTTAAGTACATTGAGAACCGTGATGTTGCAAAAGCTGTGTTAAAGGAACGGGGCCTCAAAAATATACGCATTGGAATTGAAGGTAAAGTATTTCCTCAGCAAGGGAAACTGTAAAACTGGTGAATGTAGTGTGTAAAACCTGTTTTCCTTCAGGTTTGTGTCAGGGGAGGGCTCCCATGGGGGTTTTGTGGTGTCCTGCAGACTGTAATGCATGGAGGGGTACCAATAGCTCTCTTTTACTAAGCCTTTATTTTTGTTAAATTACTAAAAACTGAGCATCTGTATCATGTTACACAGAAATTGGGCAGGAGGCTTAAAAGCTAAGGGAAAATATCCTGTACCAGTAAGCTTTGTCTCTTTAGGAAGATAAAAATAAAACCTTGCATCCAGCATTCCTGCTGATCCCTTAGAGAGCTTTAAGAACATTGTGCTACATCCTGGGAGACTGTTGTACTTTCATGCTGTCACCCAGCACTATAAAGGACAGGCAGGTTCTTTTAGGGGACCTTGGCAGAATGAGTACTGGCTACAGGGTTGCAGTTACAGTTAAGAAATTTAGTATTAGATAAAATGTTAGCAAGCAGTGTAGTTTATTATTAGTGTAGTGCAGAATTTCTAGAATTCTTAGTTACACAGGCATTTCAGTTACCTGGACCAGATCAGGTCAAAATATTATTAACTATTGTGTGAAACAGTAATCAAAACCTAGACCGAGATTTTACCTAAAAGAACATAAATCAGTCCTCAGATGAAGGAGATGAAGATGGAGGCATCTGTGGTTGCAGGGGGATCATAGATTGTGCTGTCCAGTAGCAGTTTAGGTCTAAGTCCCACGTGCTTGATGCTTCATGATTTTATAGGCCCTATCTCATGAGCTTTTATGCCTTGGTTCCATGACAGGTGTCACCACATTCTGGCAACCCAGCACCTGGGCTTTGATTATGCTAATGGATTAATTACCCTGTTAATGGGTGTCCCCATACCCTGGCAGCAGAAAGGGAAAGAGAAAGCAGGGGGGATAATGCATAATCAGCCTGCTTACATGTTAGGAATGTTTGCCTTATCATTGGTTATTCTAACTGTATTACCAGGGGTCAGAAGCGGGGGGTACAGGGGACATGCCCACAAAATGGCTAATGCTGTGCAGCTATTGATTTTATGACTAATCACAGTGCTACATCGTCTTTTCAGGGGAAAAGAAAGCAGTCTTGTAAGTCAATAATGGTAAATGTGAAATGTGAGCATTTGTCTACTCATTTCACCATGCCCCTGTAATTACTCCTACATAGCTGTTCTTATATGTATGATCCTTTAGTGCAACTGATTGACTGTCTGTGTTTTCAGGATATCCCACCTGTAAAGAGAAGGTGAAAAGGAGGCCTGGCGGTCGGTCGGAAGTGATATACAACTATGTTCAACGGCCGTTCATCCAGATGTCCTGGGAGAAGGAAGAGGGCAAAAGCCGTCATGTTGATTTCCAATGTGTTCGGAGCAAATCTCTAACAAACTTGGTCACTGTGGGTGATGACGTTTCAGAGGACCATGAGGTTATAATGCATCACCCCCCACAGGTAGATGAACTCGATAGGCTAAACGCACCATTCTCCCAAATGGCTGTTAACGATCTACCAGATTAGTCATGGCTCAGGGTGCATAGTGCTGCTTGATGTGGGAACATCTCAGCATAGTTTCATCCCAGGAGATGGAACAAAGACTTCTTGCAAGGTGCTTTAATCTTATTCATCCTCTTACTGTGTTGTTGTATTTCATTTAAAGCATGTTAATAAACATCCGCACTCCCTAATATATTTGTGCAATCGAAAGCAACATCTCTTCAAACAAAGAGAAATTGTCATTTGTTTCCACTTAAAAGGCTTCCAGACTGGTGGGTGCTGAATATTTTGCCTAAACTTCAAAAAGAAAAGCAGAAGTATTTAGAAATGACATGAGAGAGGAAATTCTGGGCCTGTCGAAACCAAGCTTTCCTTTACCAATAGGCACTTATGTTTGCTCTTGTGATAATCAGCACCAAACATCAAAGCAAAGTAGATGATACTCTTTTATCAACCAACAGAAATGTTGCATGCTTATGGCAACAAAATACTGAGTGTGGGGGAATCTGTTTACACTGACACCTGGCTTTGCATCCAGCATATACTACTGTTTTAGGGAAGGATGGAACTAGTTTAATAGGAATGTATGCCTGCTCACAGGAATTTCCTGTATATACTTCTGCATAAGATGGTATTACGGTTTTCTGAGAAATTGTTAAATTGATTAAAACAAGGAGACTATACTGAAGGAAAAAGCCAAAAGGAAGACTAGTTGATTTTTAGCAACAAAGTCTGTTTAGTAGCCTAAAAGAAGCTTTTGAGAGGTGGCTGTGCATATTAAAGATTTTCAGTTGTATCCCATCCTTGTTAAGACAAAAAAAAATCCAATGGAGCTGAGTAAAATCCCTAACAGCATAAACCTTAGTCTAAATTTCCATGGATTCTCTAAGAAACGCTCTACTCACAGGGTCTGTTGCACCTTTAAAAGGCAAACTACTTTCTTCCCAGTTTGGAACTGATGGGACCCTTTTGCAGTCAGGCAGGTAAGAAATATCAGTAGTAAATGAGACTTAGTAGAAAAAAGTGCTGGGAACGACTCTACTCTGCTTCTCCAAATGTGTTACAGGACTCTGTATTTAAGGCTCTGTTCATTTTAGATTTGAGACCAATGGAGCTGTGACTAAGTATAAACATACTCCAGGCTTCTCTGAATTGTAGAATGGTTTGGGTTAGAAGGGACCTTAAAGATCATCTAGTTCCAGCCCTCTTGCTATGGGCACAATACCTCCTACCAGACCAGGTTGCTCAAAGCCCCATCCAACCTGGTCTTGAACACTTCCAGGGATGGGGCATCCACAGCTTCTCTGGCCAACCTGTTCCAGTGCCTCACCAGCCTCAGAGTGAAGAACTTCCTCCTTACACCCAATCTAAACCTACTCTATTTTAGCTTTAAGCCATTAGTCCTTGTCCTATCCTTACACCCCCTGACAAAGAGTTCCTCTCCAGCTTTCTTGAAGCCCCTTGTAGGCACTGGAAGGCTGCTGTAAGGTCTCCCCAGAGCCTCCCCTTCTCCAAGCAGAACAACCCAAATGCCCTCAGCCTTTGTTGGAGATGTGCTCCAGCACCTTCATTATCTTGGTGGCCCTCCTCTGGACTTGTTCTAACAGGTCCACATCCTTCTTATGCTGGGGGCCCCAAAGCTGAAAGCAGGACTCCAGGCGAGGTCTCATGAGAGCAGAGCAGAGAGGATAATCCCCTCCATCACCCTGCTGGCCATGCTGCTTTTGGTGCAGCCCAGGGTACAGTTGGCTTTCTGGGCTGCAAGCACCCATTGCTGGCTCGTGTTCAGTTTTTCATCCACCAGTACCCCCAGGGCCTTCTCTTCAAGGATGTTCTCTTTCTACTCATGTGTATTTGTGCTGTATTTGTGCTTGGGATTGCCCCGACCCAGGTGCAGGCCCTTGCGCTTGGCCTTGTTGAACCTCATGAGGGTTTCCCAGGCCCACCTCTAAGTCCTGTCCAGGTCTCTCTGGATGGCATCCCTTCCCTCCAGTGTGTTGACCACACCATGCAGCTCGGTCTCCTCAGCAAACTTGCCGAGGGTGCACTCAATCCCACTGTCTGTGTCGCTGACGAAGATGCCAAACAGGGCCGGTCCCAGTACTGACAGCTGAGGAACATGAGGAACACAATTCATCACTGGTCTCCACTTGGACATCAAGCTGTTGACTGCAACTCTTTGAGTGCGACCACCCAGCCAGTTCCTTACCCACTGAATGGTCCTGCCATCAAATCCATATTTCTCAGCTTTAGAGACAATGATACTATGGGGGACAGTGTCAAGTGCCTTGCACAAGTCCAGGTAGGTGATGTCAGCTGCTGTTTTGCTATCCACCGATGCTACAACCCCATCATAGAATGCCACCAGATATGTGAGGCACGATCTGCCCTTAGTGAAGCCACGTTGGCCATCACCAGCCACCTCCTTACTTTCCATATGCCTTTGCAGAGTTTCCAGAAGGGTCTGCTCCATGATCTTGCCTGGCACAGAGGTGAGAATGAGTGGCCTGTCATTTCCTGGGTCTTCCTTTTTTCCCTTTTTAAAAATGGGTGTTACGTTTCCCCTCTTCCAGTCACTGGAAAGTTCACTGGACTGCTACAGCTTCTCAAATATTTTGGACAATGGCTTAGCAACTTCCTCTAGTTCCCTCAGGACCTGTGGTTGTATCTCATCAGGTCCCATGGACTTGTGCACTTTCAGGTTCTTTAGATGGTCTTGAACCTGATCTACACTGGGCAGTTCATTGTTCTTCCAGTTCCTGCCTTTGCCTTCTGGGGCCCAGACAGTGTGGCTGGAGCTCTTGTTGGTGAAGACTGAGGCAAAATAGTTTTTAGGCCTCAGCTTTCTTCATATCCCAGGTGACCAGGTATCCTGTTTCCTTCCGGAGAGGGCCCACAATTTCCCTAGTCTTCCTTTTATCAGTGATGTACCAGTAGAACCCTTTCTTGTTGCCCTTGATGTCCCTGGCCAATTTTAGTTCTAAATAGGTTTGAGCTTTCCTAACCTGATCCCTGTCTGTTTGGCAATATTTCAGTAGGCTGGTTTAGTTAGTTATGCTAAAGCCTAGCTGGTCCTGTTCCTGCACTATGGCATTATCTCTGGGCTTGTTTAACCCCCTGAAGAGCACATGGTGTTCAGCACAACCAGAGCCAAGCTCTCAGGCAAGCAAGCACAGGCCTGTGCTACACAGCCACCATTTCTGGAGAGATTTTTACATAACCAAGGCAGATTTGTAGCCAACTTTGACAGAGTGCTGGTGCGAAGAAAAGTTGAAACTGATTCAAAAAGATCAAGAGGAAGACAGCTCCCATATGTTCAGCACAGTTGGCTGGTGTTGAAACCTGTGCCAGTTATGCACCCAGTCATAATCTGGTCATAATTAGCAAAATGGAAGTAGCTCTCAGTCTGCCCCTAGATGTTTAATTTTGTTGTTGTTGTTTTCAGGATTACAGCAAGCAAATTTTTCATTCTTTGCCACCTGTACAAACTGTAATAGTATTGAAGTTTGTTGTTACAGTTTTGCTTCTATAGCTGTTTTTTGTTTATTTTCCTCAGTGTAAGAAATATGAATGCCTTTGTGGTTAAGAGTAACAAAATGATCTCTGCGAAGGCATGTACTTGCTGATACATTTAGTTCCCATCTGTATGGATATTCTATTATTTGCAGTGTTTCTGTTATTAGCTTCTTTCCTAACTGCAGCAAATAGATTTCTTATTTTCATAAGTGCCTATGGGAAGATTTTCAAAAGTGCTTCAGGCCCTCCTGGGAATCCCAGGGGTTTCAATGCCTGGGTCCATATGACCACTTTTGAAAAGTCCTGCCCATGTGTTATTGGAGAAGTGTCCTTCAGTGTCTGCACAGAGGTGGTTTAAGTTGTGTGCAATCACTTTCTGTTATTGCTGTAGATTAATTTGTATTCCTGTAGTAGAAAAAGGAAGATGTGGCACACTAATTATCCAGCTAAGGGCCAGACCAAACACACTACTTCCTTTAGTAAGTGAGATGTTCCACAAGTTGAGGAAAAGCAGTGCTGTGAGATTGTCACTCCAACAGTGATGGAGCTTAGCTCCCGGCCCTGTGGCTTTTATTTTTTGTGTTTGTGTATTTATTTTTACAGCAGTGTAAGTTTTAAGTAAATGTGTATTGGTATTTACTTGGAGTTTACATTTGTTCTTCTCTAAGGACCTGAATGTGCTTGTTGTCAAGCACTACCCTATACTTCCAGGACTGTGTGAAGGTATCAGAAGCTGATCAAACAGCTTAGTGCTATATTCTGCTAAAACAAATTTCACTGTTGTCTGTCTTTGATTTCAGTGTTAGCTAGACCTGAAGGATTCAGTTTGTTAGAAACAGTGACCCCAGCCACTGACGTGAAACGAGCCCTTGCCTAAGGGGTAAAGGGTTGGTGTCTAGTAGGAACTTTCTGGTACTGCGTAATCAATTGCACTTACAGTAGAGGATGGAGTGATCTGCCTTCTGTGCAGTGTTTTGCAGACACTCCAAAAATCCCCTGTTCTTTATTGGCTTTTCCAAGTAATTAGAAATGCATTTTAGTTTGTTTGTTTGTTAGTAGAGTGAATGCCATTGGAACACTGTATCAAGTTGAGAAAAATAAGCATTTCCTTTTTGTCCTTTTTTCACAGTTACACAGTATTCAGGTACATCATTTGGTCTTATTCTAGATATGCTGAAACGTTGACCATGGCATTTATGAACTCCTAGAGATGTATGGTTTCTTCTGTGTATTAAAATATAAATTATACATGGCTTTTTTTGGCTTGTTTATGTTGTTTTGAATGTGGAGAAGAATGGGTGTAGGGTAGACAACTAGGCGGTCATGTTTCCTCACTTCATAAAGTAAATGTGGCTTGTAATCTAGTCTTTGCAATATATTGAATCATGCAGACCATGATTGGTTTGGCAGGGATCTCATCCAGCAGCTGCACAGAAGTGTTGCTACCCCTTGCACTGAGAGGGCCTCAAGGAAGTTTACCAACTTGATGTAGTGATGTCCTAAAAGCAGCATGTAGCACAGGTATGAGACAAGGGTATTTAACCCACAAACTATGCAGCATGTATAAAAGTGCTGTTTTGGGTTAATATGCTGTGAAAGGAGCTTTCCCAGTCTAACTTGTTCTCTGTCTCTCAGAGGAAAGCAGGAACAGGCCTGCCTTTTATTCTCTTCTTTAGTGTTAGATGTGTTTCAAGAGCTTTTTCAAACATGGTCTACCGTTGTAGCCTTATGCCTGAACAGTTGAGTCTAAAACCTCTTTCAAGTCTGCCAGATAGTCAAAAAGAGAAATTCCTTCCATCAGGATTCCAGTTTGAAAAAACAACAACAACACATGCTAGCAAAATTTTGTTTACTAAGAGGATTTTATTTACATACTACAACATAGAGATTGTTCCATAAAAAGTTGGCTCCTCCAACATCACACAATACATCTGCCAAGTCTTACAGTGCAATTTGGTAACAGTTTTTAAATATTTGCAAAACACTTTTTCAAATTATAGGGTTAAGGCAGAATCAGGGCACAGTGATAAGAAACACTTAGTGCAGTTTTGTGTTAGGCATGATACAAAGGTGAACTGGCATCAAAACTCAAGTTCTGATTCATTGGAAATCCAGATTAGAATAATTCCTAGAAGTCTAGCTGAAAAAAAAAAAAAAAAAAAAAAGACAAAAATAAACCCTGCTTGCATCTTAAAAAAAGATCTAAAAGATACATAAGACAATATGCATCGATACACGAGCCAGCAGCTAATAAAAATGTTTGGCTAACACATTGGTGAGGGAAGAGGTATACAAAAATCTTGATCTGTTAGCAGTGAAATAAGGATCCTGGAAACAACAGGTTGTTGGTAAATGCCTGTTAATAGGAAGCAGGCTTATGACGCAACTGAGATACAAAACCTACCACTGTAAAGTGATGTCCAAGGCTTTCAGAGGATTATATGCAGACATCCAACTCCTACTGAAAGACACGGGAATGAGGTACCCTACTGTTGCTTGCACTTCTAAAAAACTTCACCTTTACCTCAAAAAAAGTGAACAATCTGAGGTTTCAGAAGACCCTAAAACATATACACTAAAAATGCAAAATACATATTACTATAAAGGCTTTCACAGCGCATTATCACAACTTATAATTGTATAGTTTATCTTATCTTTGGTATTTATAAATAAAAATTCCAGTCCCTTTACTAAAGGGCTATAATGCAGCTACTGTCTCAAAATCATTTACTCCTAATCCACAGCAATTTTAAAAGATTTTGCTTTGTTAATTTTTCAGGCAGTAACTAAGCTTTTTTTTTTTTTTTTTTAAGCATTTCAATATTAATACCTCTCAATTTTCCAGTGGTTTATAAAGCAACAGTTTCCAATGGTTAAAAGACACTGCAGGATAGGGAGAGAGAACAGTTTGAGAAGTAGCTATCAGCCCTCATAAAAGATAAAGAGGGTAGAGTGGAGTATTACTGACAAGTTGATAAAAAACCTGATCCTATAAATCATTACCTCAGTTAGCCCTTATTCATATGAGTAATTCCTACTGACTACAGTATTCCTCGTACTTCTATTAAGGCTATTCTTGCAAGTTCAGCTTTTTAGGATCTATGGGGTATCTATCTAATTATAGCAATTCATTTAACTCCTAGGACACACTAAGCACAAGGAGATGGTTAGGGAGATGATGCTAATGAGTTATCACTCCATCTTAGCTATATACAGTGCTTTCTGTCCCCCCCGACTCAGTCCTTCATGATGGCACTCAATTCAAGACATCTAGGTGAAAATTCCCTAAAAGCACCAAAAAAAAAAAAAAAGAGACCCTATTTTCTTTAATTTCCTAATCTAGAAAGTTAGGACTAAACATAACTGAAAGCCTTCCTATTACTATGAATTACTATTACTACTGCTCCAGCTTTGTTTTGTCTCTAAACAGCTTTTCTGTCTGTGCTATGCCATTAGTGTTCAGCACCAATAAAAGTTTTCAACAATCTTAGTTCAAATTGATAAACACAAGAAATTTGAGGTTTTAGAAACCTTAAAGTTTTAAAAACTTATAATTGCAAATTAAAGACTAGTACCAGGCAGGCCCAAAGATTAATAACTCTGCAGTTCCAGTGGCAGGTGGCAACTACAAGATGGATGCTCATGATTATAAATTATTATAAAAATTAATCAACATTATAAAAAGCTCAGCTGAGGCAGAATCCTCCCTCTCAAAATGCAGCGATGTTCTCAGAGATATTTAGGCAAGGAAAGACACCTTGGGGCTCTCCTGGAGAGCATTCTGATCATAACTGAATGTACCTTTATAAGTTACATTAGACAAAATTCAAAGAACATAGGGGTCCCACCACTCCAAAGCTGACCCCATGAGGCACTGTCTCAGAGGACTACAAAGGACAGCTGGTTCAGTCATGACAGCAAGACGAGTTCTCAAGGAGTTCTAAAGGAAATCAAGGAGGCTTTGGTCAGCAAGACTTGTGGAATAATTTAATACTGTTTTGCTCAAAACCAAGAGCAAAAAGGCCACAGAAGACAGTATTGTCTAAAAAAGATGAAGATGCCAATCTTAAAAGTGGCCAAAAGTTGGCAGCATCAGGATCCAGAAACCTCATGGCTGACCCGACTGTACCCAGCATGCCTACTACCAATGATCTGGTTAAATGAATTCTCCCTTTTCTCTGCCCTTATTCCAGATCCACTTGTGTTATTAGCTGTAGTCTTCATTATCTGCATTGCTTATAGATCCATCTTTTCATACAACAACTGAAAACTGCTGGTGCTTGGTGGAGGAAGTGGCCCATTTCTATTACTACTGTATAGGAGAAAAAAGTGTTGCACAATTTTTTTAATTTAGAAAAATATTGAATACCTTGAGGGTCCAAAAAGTAGTACCAAAAGTAAAGTGCACTGCAACTTGAGGCCACTGCGACAAAATTAAGAAACGCTATTGAAGAGGATTTCACGTAGCATCATAAAAAAACAGTATTACAAACTAAAGTTAAGGCAATATATGTTGTATCTTTCCACTAGATAGTTTACCGGAGAGTTGTCTACCTCAAGCTGTAATTATTGCTTTATTTCCATTATACTGAAGTCCACCAGGAAAACAGTGCTGGTAGAACTGTCAGATTGAATATGTTACTTAATGCAGAACTAGCAAAATCATCCATATAATGTGATGTCACATGCTTTGCGATGTCAAAGTGAAGGCCTGCTTAGATCTCCTGATGGACTGCACAGTCTGGCAAAGAATTTAAAAGGAAAACTCAAAACTCTTGCTCCTGAAGCAGCAGAACATGCTTGCAGCAGAGATGACATTTTGTGGAAGTTTTCAATGGTGCAGAAGAACAAATCCTTAGTAACAGCCAAAGTGTGTAACAAAAGAGGGTCTTGAAGTCTTCTCCAAAAGGTGATAGCCCTCAAGTTTTCTTTAAGAAAATGATAATAATAAAAAAGATAAAAAGTTCTTTTATGAGTAAAAAACAAAAACAAAAACAAAACAAAACAGAACAAAACAAAAAAAACAACCAAGGTACAGAAACAAAATTCCACAGTTCAGAAGTTGTCCTAGGTAAAGGTAAATTACTTTCCTGTTTTCATATAGGATGGTATTGCTCCTCGGGCTGTCAGGCCCTCAAAACGCTTGTATGTATAATTGATAAAAACCCAGTCTTTGTTCTTGTAGTCAGTATCTGGATGGTTAATTGTTGCCACTGAAAGGCATAGGAAAAACAAATTACTATTTGGACGCTTCAGTTTATTTTCACACAAAACACTAGATGCAGAGTAGGGAAGAATGCTTCTAAAGAAAAAAAAGTATCATAGAGGTAAGCATTCAGTTTCATCCTACAACACCAATCAAAAACTGCAATAATGTGTGTTTTTTAAACACGTAGGCAAATGTTTATATGCAATACAAGGATCCTTAAAGATTTACACCAGAACATATTGTCCCCATCTGTCCCACCCTCTTCCCACCCATATTAACTGTTAGACATACTAGAAAGAATTAGCCAGTGCCAAGAGGTCCTTGCAGCACTGGGCTCAAAGGTCCGCTGAAATCTGAATTTGCTGGAAGCTTTGTTGCTTCTTAGAGATGCCCATTCTCAAAGGGCTTCCATTTCCCTCACAAGTCTGCATCCCAGCTCCCAGTACCCAAATTAATAGCTTGCACACCCCTTCATCAAAGACTACCAGCTAACAATTTAATCATACTTAAAAAAATAAAAACAAAACACCCTAGGATCTCACTGGTAGGATTGTGTGATTCTCAGAATAACAGGAATGTCACATTATTCTATTGGAAGAGAGGAAGAATCAAAGCATTTACCTGTTGGTTTAAGGATATCAGATTCTGGAAATTCGTCAAAGTTTGAGGTATCATCAATGCTTTTAATCTCTATTGAAATCGCAGCAGGTCTTTCCCTGCCAATAAGAGCAGATCCAGGATCAAAATTTCAGAGGCAGGAGAAAGCAGGATTCATATGCTTCCCACTGCCTAACGGACTCAAAGATTGAAGGCACCTAGACCTCCAGCAAGCTTCAGATAAGGCCCAAAATATTCTCACCCACATCTAAATACGATAAACATCAGTCAAGTTGTTCATTCCCGCTGAACAGGAGGACCAGCAGCTAGTTTTTCTGCAAAGCATCTTACCTTATATGCTCCCAGTCAACCCCTTCAAAGAATGGGTTACTCTTTATTTCCTCCACACCAGATGCACCAATTCTGTGCTCCCATTCACAGCAAAATCTGGGATGGAAGGAAGAATGAAAATGAATGAAAAATGAAAAATGAAAGCATTCCATCCAGAAATGGAATGGCTTTCCAAATTGATACTACTGTGGTTTCCTAACATATACATGGAAAAGGCTAAGAACTGCCACTTCAGAAACAACACATGAAGTGTGCTTAGCGCCATCATGCCAAATGCTGCAATTAAGATGCAGTATTCCTTCAAAACTGGATAATGTGTCCTTTCTATTTCAGGACAAGCACAGATTAGAACATATAAAGTCTGAAAAGCTAGACATTTATATTTTTGTCCTGAGAAAGGATAAGTGATTGAGAACATTGAATGCAGAAATAAAAATGAAAGAGTCAGCATGCATTAGGATGTGTGTATGCTCCAGTACACACAATGCCAAAACTCTTGCTATGTTAAAAAGCTAGCTCTGGCAAAAAGAGTAAGTCACTTCCAAGAGAAGCCTGTAGACAAAATAAAAAGCAGAAACATTCATATTTTGCCAGACTAGCAGCACTTACATAGGTGCTCCTTTTTTTTTTTTTTTTAGCATAGTTCAGTCAAGAGTTCCACTGAGAGACAAATGTATTTGATTAGGGAGTTCAGCATTTGATTGATGTGCTTAACTAAATATGTAGCTGTCAATCATTTTTTCCCATGTGAAGCAGGCTATTGAAGCTATAGAACAGTTTGCAAGACAAAATTAGTGTTGTATTAACTGGCACACCGTATGAATGGCACCTTAAAATAAGATCCTTTGCTTTATCAGATATTGGAACCTCTGGAGGAAATGTGAGCGTCTCTTTCCAATTCATTACTTTCTTGTACGTTTCTTGAGGAGTCTCAGAACAGAAAGGTGGATAACCTGAAAATAAAAATGCAGTCTTGTAAAAAGCAAAAATAATTATTTTAGTTACTAAAGTCTACACTGCAACAGACAGAACACTTCTCATAAACTATGCAAGCAGCAGATGCTTTGAGATCCTGATCCCAAACACATAAATACAACCAATATCCTGCACCACGATTCCTCTTAAGAACTTAGGCAGTGCCTGTTTCTTACCAATCAACATCTCATACATGATGACCCCAAGTGACCACCAGTCACAAAGCTTGTTGTAGCCTGTCTGCATGAAAACTTCAGGAGCAATGTAATCTGGAGTTCCCACAGTAGAAAAAGCCTGAAACAAGTAACATCAGTTACATATATTTAGAGAAAATTTACTGCTATGGAAACAGAACTTAAGCAACAACAGTTATTTTGAGAAAGACATCAGATTGTCTATAAGATCCCTATAAAACAAGATCTATAAGACCTTATGTCTGTAAGATCACTGTAAGATAGTCAAAATTGATTTCAAAATATGTAAAGAAAAAAATTCAACATGTTTACCTCAATGAGTCTTAAATTGCCACCAGGGAAATAGGTAAAGGTACCTTTGTCTATATATATATATATATACACACACACACACACACCTCAAAATGGATCACTAGCTCATTGTTACCTTGTAAATGGCAAAAAAGCATTAGTTTCAACTAGGAGGTATCCGCTATTAATGTAACAATTACAGCAGCACTATCTCAGGCACAGCTGTTCAGCAGCTGGATGAAGGACAAACAGGAGTTACTCCTCTTTTAAAAAGAAAGAGGTGAGTTTTCACTCCAGCCTTGTTCAAAATTCTGACATAGATTAATGCCTGTTGTTTAAATGTATGTACTGTTTGAAAGCAATAGCTCAGAGATCATTTCAAAACAGGTAAATTGTCACTTACCAACTGCCGTCTATTTCTCTTCCATGTTTCTGCTTTCCGTTTGGAATTCATGTTCTGGAAAGCTAAAGGAAATCAGAATATGGATGACTGAATCCTGCCAGTCATCCAACGTACATACATTTTTTTACTCCAAATCCACTGTACTACTTAAGAAAACCTCCCTTCCAAGATCAAAAAGTTCACTGAGGCCTGAATAAACAGCTCATTTTGTATTTAGCTGTGCTAGTAAGTGGGTTACAGTCCCCACATGCTCATCAGCATAGACCAACATGCTAACCTGCCTCAGCCTTGCCTTGCTCGGTTTACCTGGCACAATTTAAAGGTGCATGCAGATGCAGACCAGAGCAGTCAGCAGCTTCTAGCAGGCAATTGCTAAACTCCAAGTTATTCCTCATGAAAAAAATGACTGAATATTCAGAGACTACATGCACATTTCTTAATTCAAGTCACACGTGTGATGCAACTAGCATCTACGAGTTGCACCAAATTTTCGTTTGGGGTTTACTATGTGTGCTAAGAAGGGCTACCGCAGAATCCGTCTAAAAGACAAACTTTTGAAAATGAAGCTGTGTGTGTACATTAAAGTAACTGAAATTATTTTTATAAAAGAAGTCTTACAGAAAATCAAAGCTATACTTCAAGATGCAATGTTACTATTACATTCAAACTGCAGTCTTCTATCTTCACATTGAAATGTGTTTTATCAGACACCAAGAGCAAGTATGCATATACTTTACAAAGCCAAATAACTTACTGAAGTCACTAGGAAGACTATGGTTCAAGTTTCTATAAAACTCTGTTCTGTGTGCTTTCTTTAGTCCAGTGCACAGACCAAAATCTGAAAGTTTCACGTGGCCCTAGAAACAAGAACGCCAAAAATATATAAAAACAGTATGAGAATTATCATAGCAAGTAGTTTCATACTTCTTTCCAGTCCCTTTATTTTTCTGTAATAAATAGATGCACTCTTTTTCATTACTCATTTTAGCATAAGACTGGATACATACACACAGAATCAAGCTTTTAGTACTTTCTTCACTACTATCCAGAGAAAGACTATTTATTAGCACCAATTTACTTGAAGAAGCCTCTGCTCAGGCAAATTGACTGCTTCAGAGTGAAAGCAAACGTCTCCAGAGGGAGCTGTAGTCCCTGGATTGTGCAATGACTGCTAGATAGAAGAAACACCTTGGATCTGTCCCAGTGCATATCGTCACCACACTGATTAGGTGCGATTCTTTTTCTTCCTGTAACTGAAATGTACATCCTTTTTGAAGTCTTGAATTTATCTGTGCCTAGATGTAGACATATTGAATTACAGCAGTAATTCCAACAGAGCTGGCTGGTCTGCTGGCTAGCAGAATATAATTATTTACTGTTGGCACTGTTCCGTACAAGCTAGTTTTAAGCAAACTTGTAATGAGCAATAGGACAGCAAAACAATCAAGCTTTCTGTAAACTACCTCCAGTAACCATCCAGAAGCAATCAAGTAACCTGACAAAATGAGTCTTCAGAAATACATCCTGATTCAGAGGAAGGTATCTCTGTGTCTTACTAATGCAGCAGTTAGATCCTTCACATTTGATACTATCATCTACCCAGTAACTAGCAAGGGTGAGTATAACAGATGGGAGACCTAAAGGAAGTATCTTTGACTGAGAGGTGAGAACTGAAACTATGTATTTCAAATTGCAGCTGAAATAACCAACAATAGCTTGAACAACTGTCACAAGAGGCTCTTCCACAACACCCCAAGCAACATGGCAAATATACCTTCAAAGGCTAGGAGGAACAGGGCTATGAAAGAAGTACTGTTTTCTTTCACAGTTCTCAACACTAGTTTAGGTCAATATTAAAAACTACAAGACTTATTTACCATTAAGCCATTGGCCAGTGGTTAGTGCATACCTTGCTATCCAGAAGAAGGTTGTCTGGTTTGATATCTCGATGGATAAAACCCAATTGATGAATAGAATCAATGGCTAGCACAGTCTCAGCTATATAGAACTGTGTCTCTTCTTCTGTTAGTGTGTCTTTTTTCATCAACAACGTCATCATATCACCTAGAAGCATCAACCCCACCCCAACAGCAAAGGTAAATACAAATGACTTTGTGTACAAACACACAAACTCCAATTTCACTGATTTTGAAGGCATTTGCAAAGAAAAGAACTAAGCTTTGAAATCTTTGGGAAATCTAAATTGATTTAATATAAAGAAATACATCCAGTTTCCCAGCACTTCCGAGAGTTAAACTTGTATTTTCCTTCACATCACTATATGTGAAAGGCTTGTATTGTAGTTGCATTAAGTTTATTGAGACAGCTAAACAGCACAGAGATGAAATAACTGCATAGAAACATTCCTTAAGCAAGAGTTAACTGTGGACAGCCACTCTTGACTACACATCTGAATCGCTGATTAAAATATATACTTTCAGCTACAGAGCTGTTAAAAAAAAAAACAGACTGTGTTTGTTCAGCATCATTTCAGAAAGCATTCTTGTTTGTATTCACATACATGTATTACAGGCTTTCAGTACAGTTTAAGTGTTACAGTAGTGTTTGCATTCAAGGACAAACATTCATCCTCCAAAAAAAAAGACCTTAATTGTTTCTGCTGCAAGCCAGCTAAAAGCAAAGGGTTAGCAAATCAAAAGCTGATGATGGTTCTACAAATAGCTAGCACAGAGTAAGAATAAGAACTAGCAGACTATTAAGGCTGTGTCTCAAACATCTGCAGCTAGTACACACAAGCAGATAAGCTAGAGATAAACCTGAAGACCTTCTAAACCTGAAGACCTTAGTACTCTTAACTCCTAAAACGAGAATTTTTTAGGAATTACTTGTATCCTCACAAAGGTGCAGTACAAACAGCAGTGTACAGTAACCACACATACTCTAGTCCCAGACCACATCTGTAATTAAGAGATTACAAATTCAAAACCAAAAGAAAAGCAGCCTTTTAATTTCATGTGATTACCTCCAGGCAGGAACTCCATAATAAGGTAGAGGTTTAGCTTATCCTGAAAGCTATAGAACATTTTCACAACCCACAAACTGTCTGCCTCCACTAGAATGTCCCGCTCTGCACGAATATGGCCAACCTGTAGATATACATATGCATTTGATTAATTACAAGGCTGTGTTTTTATAAGATGCATTTACTTCACAGACAATTCAAGTATTATATTAAAAAGCATCAAATATTGAAAAGACAACAGCCAAACTTCTGCATGAAGGCAGAAACACCATCTAAGCTTCAACAGTTTCACTCCTAGATATTTTCAGGTAGTAAAATAGGGTAACATTGAAGAACAAATTCAAAAAATATTCTTTTAACAGAAAAAAAAAAAAAAAAAAAAAAAGATGAGCTTTCATTGAACTGCTCTATTTTTTCCAGACTGTTTCTTCTTCCCTCCCCCGTCCAAATCTGATAAATCCCAATGAGCACCAACTCGACATTAGCCTTAATAAGGATCTGAAAGACCCTTTTATGCTCTGAGGCTTCCACTGGAAAGTTTACACGGTCTTTTGCCTCCATTCACACTTGAATAACTTCTATATTTATTGTTAGACTTCTGCTGCCATAGGTTAACATATACAGAAGGGCAAAAATGCACAAACCTAATTTTTTAAGCAAGAAATCAAGCTAGAGAAATTTAAACTACCTGCCTGAATAACAAGATTCTATACAAAAAGATAACCTACATTTACATTTTCTTTCAACTCTTACAGTATCTGAGTTGTCTTCAAGTCAGAAGTGTACACGTGATAGGTGATACTATGAAAACATTTGTCTTAAAATTAGTTAGATAACAGACTACTCCAAACACAATTTATTAACATGGGAAGATTAAGAAAGAGAAACATACGGTTTATTATATAAGCAGCTTAATTCTATATGAAGAAAAATTATTTTTTGTGAAAATTTCTAACAATTAGATCTCTCAAAAGATAGCTCTTTCCAAAAAAGTTAACTCATCCTTCAAGATATAGCTTCAGCTTATTCCAACAGATTTAGACTCAAGCACTAATTTAGTAGCGCTGCATAAAATTCCTGTGCGAGAACAATGCTGTTTATTTTTTTGAATGAGTACTTCCCAAAATGGAAACCAGTTCCTTATTTTTTGAAACAGAGTGCTTCCCAGATTCATCCCAGTGCTGAACAAGAAATGATTGTGTTAGACAATATTCCCAAAAGTACTAGCAAATATAAGCCTTAAAAACATTACATGCCGTTACTTTATGTCCATTGATTGAGTCGGAATTCTAGTTGCCATACCACTTTGATATTTGTATCTGATTCCATAAATCAGAAACACAGTAAACCAGCTACTTGATGTCTGTACTGAATCATCTACATGTAATGGTAAAAGTATATGTAACATACCGTTACATATATATGTATCATCATAGGTATCATCGTAAACTGATGAGGAGGAACATACAACCATCTTTATGTATCTGATTTCATTTGAGGACTGACCTAGTTCTTGGAAGACTCCGTTGTTTCCCCATGCTTTCAAGTAGAAACTGAGTTCAGTCCTACCTTGCTTCAGTATGACGAGTCTCTTGAAGAGAGTTATAATTGCAACTTCCATGAGGACTAAGCACAGCATTAGACGTTGTTTTTAAAATGCTATTCCAACCATTGAGCAACATACAACAGTATTTGTTTATAGCCTGTCACCACTACAATAATCTCATTTATTTGAAAACTATATATTCAAATTTTAGCATTGTTACACGGAAAGGTGTAATAATAATCAAACAGAAAAGGCTTGACCAAACCCACTAGAAGACAGTCCTTATGAGTTCATACAACAATTTTCTGTCCAATTTCCTCCACACAAAAAGTGGAAAAAATCCACCATAATCTTTTAGATAGTAAACCTAGACACCTAGATGCCCATTACTCCTCTCTACACATACATCGCAATTACCTCCCAAAGTCACTTAAATCACAGACAGTAGCACCGCTACTTAGGGTGGCTATTCACCTGCTCTTTTTCAAGCATGTCAGCTTTACGGAGTATTTTCATTGCATAAACATGCCCCGTATCTTTCTTCTGGACAAGTCGCACCTAGAAAGTATGTAAAAATTTGAATCAAATGAAGTATCATCAGCACACATCGTCATGGTTTTGTGTAGGAGGCCCTTGGCCTGTTTCATGAAATCTTATCAGACTATAAGAACAAAAAAGCCCTACATAGTGCATGCTAATGTCAAACAAGTTCTCTTAATTGTAAGAGATTAAATCATTGTAACAGAGATGATATTCAGCAACCACACACCTAAATTGGACAGTCCAAAGCCACTTTCTCCAGAAAAGGCCACCAGAACAGAGCATTGCAAGTGACCCTCAAGCCCCCTCTGTTCTCCAAGACCAGCCCCAGGAGATCAGAATGAAAGTACACTGACAGATTTGTATTTAGCTTGCCCATCAAGTTCTTTTCAACTGCATTAATGTTCTTTTAAAGCATGTAATGTTTTTAAATCAGTATTTTTTAGGCATAAAGACAGATCCACGTGTTAAGCTAAAACTACTCTGCAGTTCCTACAACATTTATCTTTCACTTGTGTGAACTACATAAGCTTTTGGCAAATACCAGCATTATTTGAAAATACTTTTAGTCATCTTTTCTATACTTACCTCTCCAAATGCTCCTCTGCCTATTACTTTTAAAGATTCAAAGTCTTCCAAACCAAGCCTTGTTCTCTTCAGACGAAGAAATTCTGTTTCTTTTTGTGCATGTGCTGACCTCCTGATTCTCTTCTAGAGTTTATGGAAAATAAAACAAGGCTGCAGTTAGGCTCCATGAAGATCAAAGCAATTCCAAGTAAAAATGCTAGCTGACCATTTTTATAAGCAAATCACTTGTACTACTAAACTGTTAAAATAATTTTCCCAGATTAATTACCTCTTCGTCTTTTAAGCCTTCTTCTTCCATCATTTGTTCTAGCTTCTTTTGTCTAAAAGAGACAGAAATTAGAAGAAAGTTGAATCTTTTAACTTTTTTTTTTTTAAAAAATCATATACACATATCCAATACCTTTGGTCTGTGCTTGCTGTGAAAGGAGGATGTAATGCCAGTAAGTAACAGTATATCTGATTCTCCTTTATATATCATTTACAAGACTAATCTTGAATAATCTAGTGTTACTGTTTTACCATTCTAGCAATTTAACTTTCTAATTTCAATAATCTAAATCTGCCTTGAGTTTCACATGTCTTAATCAAATATATATGCTCATTGTATAGGAACATAGATCCGGTTCCTGTCACTTTGTTTGATAGATAGATAAGTCACTTAAGGCCAAAGCCGTAATAAATATTGAATCACCAAAGTCTCACTTATTCTAGGGACAATTAGCTATCTAAACAGCTTTGTGGATCTGCACTGGATTTCTCAGCACCTCAGATGCACTACATGCAAAATGTTACTCTCTATTTCATAATACCTGAGATATTCAAAATATTTGGGTAAAGGACATATCAATACATATTCTCACACCTAAAAAATCTGAAATTATTATTTGGGAGCAAAGAAAGAAAGGAAATAAAACTTCATGGGGGGAAGAGAGGGAAATGTCTTAAGGGATCATACGTTATTATTACCCTGTGGGAACTTTTTCCCAACAGTGATCACATTAATAGCTCTGAAACTCCACAATTGGGGTTGTGGTTTTGTTTTTTTCTTTGCTCCCCCCACTCCTCTCCTGCTCATATTTTTTTGCACACCATTGCAAGTGTACTAAAATATTCCCTGTCTTTATGCAAGTCATCCATTGCAAGATCCTCTTCCGGTCTCCTGCCACTACACAGCTACTGTGATGTGATGATAATTTGAGCTATTGCTTCCACAATCAGACACATTTAAATCGCTCTGCCTTTATTTAAGTACCCAGTCATCCAATTTCACACTCAAAAAGGTTACTCCAGTAGCAAAAACAAAGACTGCTGCTGCAACACCCATATTTAAGTAGCTCAGCATGACTGAGTGATGCTAAAATTCCCCTAAACGTCCTTAATAGGCCCTATCTGTGCTTCAGTGAAAATTTTATTAATACTATTTAAACTCCAAATTGCACAGCCACAGATACATCAATATTTTTTATTTTTTTTTTAAGAAGTATACCTTAGTATGTTTGTCCAAGTTTTTAGAAAAAAAAACATCATCGAGGTTTTTGGAGTAGACAATAACACTCATAATAAAAAAAGCAAGAACTATGCAAAGACAAAGCAAGGAATTAAATCAGTAATATCTTCTGTTTTGATTAGGCCTCAAGCTCTCATTAATTTGAAATTTTGGAGAAAATATATACACAAGATAGTATTTCTTTCTAAATTGTTTCCTCATTTCTGCAGTTATTGTAGTTAGCAGGCAATCCTCTTGGAACAGGTTGGATTTTTGGCAGCAAGTCTGCAGGCAAATAAACACTGAACCATTTTTGAAAATTCTGATTATAGACTACATGACAAGCAGGGAGCATGCCAGAAGTCCCAGTGCTACAACTTGAGGGTATTCAGCACATTAGAGGGTTCCAGCCAAAAGAAAACAAATACAATATCTCTCAGATAAATTACTTGGTATATTTTGGCCAATATATTTAGAGAGATGTGATAGGTTCTGTTAACTCAGACAAGAAGTAAGCATTAGGTGACAGCTCTTACAGCAATCTTCCACTGCCTTTCAGATTACCTTCTCTTATCAGGCAACTCAGTCACAATTTATAACCCAAGCTGAAACTGATGCTATAAAATTGATTTTAAATATTACAACCAGGTACGTAAAATGAGAACAGGCAACAGAACAGACATAGGCGGGACAAACACTTGTAAATGTTGGCTTTCAGCTTCAGAATTGTATTTGAGTGATGCCAAGCACATCTGAGGGTTAGTTTCTACTTAGTCAAATAATAAAGCACACTTTAAAATAAAATAAAAATTGGTAACAGTCATATCACTTTTGCATTTGCAAGCATGTTTCAATTAATTTCAGAAGAAATTCCAGCCTAAATTACCGTGGGATTTAGAAATCCTGCAGTTGCCGCTGGGTGCTCATGCCAAGCCACAGCCAGGTACCCATCTCAGGAGCTTAGGTACACGCTCAGCAAAGATTTTCTATTTTTGCTCTGGATCCAGACAACTAAATGCAATTAGTATGTATGTCTGGCTCATATCCAGGAATGGAAGCAAGAAAGAATTTTACCTCATCTCCCGTTCTTCATGCTGTGCGATGAGATTGCTATAGAAGTTTTCTAATGTCACCTTTGTCATTGTAACTCGCTCCTTGGTATGATTGCTCATGGATGAGCACGGTGTTGGGCCTGTCATTGCCATGGCTATTAGGAAAGAAAAACGGAGGAAACATTTGACATAGTAAGTGACAAATTACCTCCAAACAAGAGATACAATCAGTTAAGAGACGCTTATTCACAGAGGTCAGAATTATGATTTTAATGAAATATTAGCAGTCCAGTTGCCCAAACAACAACTAAACAGGGAAAAGTCTTACAAAAAAAAAGTACAAGTCAAGCTTCCTGTTTTGAACATTTTTGATCTGAGAGTAAGAGGGAAGGAAGCTTAAGAAACACTATGCCTCAAAAACCACAATTTCAGGCAGCACCGAAAATGTTTATTTCTCCCAATATTTTCTCTCTTTCAGCACTTCTCCAATAAACGTTGAAAGTTCAGAACATCACACTGATCTACGCAATCCAGAAGCTCCCTCTGACCCTTGCAGAAGTAAATCCAGCAGTTGCCTGCCAACTCCTTGGCTGTGAAATCCTGGTTCAAAATTCTGAAAGCCATCCTGATAACAGAACAACTGAGGAAGGAGAAAAAGGTATTTAGCCGATTTTAAGCACTCTCCCTTTTACTGAATGACTTCACACAGAAAGCCAGTAAAACACAGTTGCTGCCTTCGACCAAGCTGGAGTTAAACAACCCACAGTCACCAAAGACCTAGTTTAAGTTCCCTACGTTTACAAACCGGATTCTCTCAAGAAACGTGTCAGTGTGCCCCTCGCGACTGGCAGAACAGCTTCAGGGCATAGTTGACAACCTAACTCCGCTTTCTAAAACGCAACTACTGTTCAAAGATTCCAAGTATAAAACTACGTCTCAGCCTAGCTTCCCCGGTGGCAGCGTAACCCCCGGGCAGGTAACCGAGCTGTGTCACCGTTACCAGACGGGTTGGACGCTTCCTGTTGTGCAGTACCGAGGTGCCAGGACCGTTTCACGAGCCACCCTTTGCCGTTTACTTTCCGCAGCTCGTTGTAAGGCGCCCCCCCCCCCCTCCCCCCGGCCACGTTGCCCGGGGCAGCGCCGGGCCCGGCCGAGGGGGAGCCGCTGCCGCCGGCGGACAGAGCGCGGAGGCGACCTGACAGGAGGGGGCTGCGGGGGCCTCAACCGGGGACGGGGAAGAAAAGCGAAACCGAGAGGCTGCAACGCCCAGCCCAGACAGGTGCCGCGGGGCCGGGCGCTCCCGTACGGCGGCTCGGCACCGCGCTGCGGACGAGGCGGTCGCCGCCGGCCCAGGACGCGGAGGACACCCGGGCCCCCGGCCACCCCCAGCCCCATCGGAGGCAGAGGCCCGGGAGGGGGGGAGGCGGCCGCCCACCCCCGTCGTGGCGAAGGGCCCCGGGGGCCAGGGGGGAACGGACACGGAGCGCCGGCACGGCAGCCGTGGGCCGGCACGGCGACGAGGCGGCGGCGCTTACCGGAACCCCCCGGGAAGGGGGCGGCGAGGCGCTGAACGCGGCGGCAGGATGCCGTCGGCACAGCGACGGCGGGACGGGGCGGGACGGGGCGGGGCGGAGCCGGAGGGCGGGGCCGGGGCCAAATGGACCGCGCGCCCCCGGGGAGCGAGCGGAGCCCCGGCTCCGCCACCGCGGTCCCCCCACCCTGAGGGCGACGCGGACGGGCCGAGCCCCGGGGGCCCCCAGGGCAGGGCGCATGCGCCACCACCTCCCGGCCCCGCCCCCGGCCCCGCCCCGCCCGCTGCCCAAGGGCGGGGGCTGCCGCCAGCCCCACGCCCTCCGCCCAAGACGCAGGCGCGCGGCGGTCTCGGGGGGCGGGGAGAGCGGAGCTCCTCGGCGTTTGCGCGCTGCGTTGTGGGGGCGGGGAGGGGCGGTCACCTGAGTGGGGCAGGCGGGGGCGCAGCCGGGTGCTGTCCCCACCCCGCCGCAGGCGACGATAAAATCCGCGTATTCTGGGTCAAATCAGTCTTTGAGCTCACCTAGAGGAAAGGCTGCTTCAAGCCATAAAGCGGCAGCCTGTCTGCAATGCTCATGCAGGCATGGGGAGCCCTGTCCTCTCGCCTCTGTCAAAAGGCACCATAACCTGCAGGTTCTCCCCCCTTGTTGACAAGGGAGTGGTTCGGGAGCATCTTAAGTGGGCTTAATGCATGCAAATCCATGGTTCCCGATGGGATTCATCCATGTGTGCTAAGGGAGTTGGCTAGAGGTCGTTGCTGAACCACTCTATCGTCGAAGGTCCTGGAGAACAGGAGAGGTGCCTGAAGATTGGAGGATAGCCAGTGTCACTCTGGTCTTCAAGAAGGGCAAGGAGGAGGATCTGGGAAACTACAGGCCAGTCAGTCTCACCTCTGTCCCTGGAAAGGTGTTGGAAAAGCTTGTTCTGGATAGCATCTCTAAGCAACTGCAAGAGAAGAAGGTTATGAGGAGTGGTCAGCATGGATTCAGTAAGGGGGAGTCATGCTTGACCAACCTCATTGCCTTCTATGATGGCATCACCAGCTGGGTAGATGAGGGGAGAGCAGTGGATGTCATCTACATTGACTTTAGCAAGGCTTTTGATACTGTCTCCTATGACATCTTGCTAGCAAAGCTGAGAAAGTGTGGGATAGATGAGTGGACAGTAAGGTGGGTTGAGAACTGGCTGACTGGCCGAGCTCAGAGGGTGGTGATCAGCGGAGCAGAGTCTGGCTGGAGGCCTGTGACTAGCGGTGTTCCCCAGGGGTCAGTGCTGGGTCCGGTCTTGTTCAACATCTTCATCAACGAACTTGATGAGGGAATAGTGTCTGCCCTCAGCAAGTATGTGGATGACACAAAGCTGGGAGGAGTGGCTGACACACCAGAATGCTGTGCTCCCATTCAGCAAGATCTGGACTGGCTGGAGAGATGGACAGGAAGAAACCAAATGAGATTTAATAAGAGCAAGTGTAGAGTCCTGCACCGGGGAAGGAAGAACCCGAAGTATCAGTACAGGCTGGGGGATGACCTGCTGGAGAGGAGCTCTCAGGAGAAGGACCTGGGGGACAACAGATTGACCATGAACTAGCAGCATGCCCTTGTGTCCAAGAGGGCCGAGGGGATCCTGTTGTGCATTAAAAGGAGGTCAAGGAAGGTGATCCTGCCCTTCTACTCTGCTCTGGTCGGGCCTCACCTGGAGTACTGTGTCCAGTTCTGGGCTCCCCGGTACAAGAAAGAGAGGGAGCTCCTGGAAAGAGTCCAGCGGAGGGCCGCAAAGATGATATGGGGCCTGGAGCATCTTCCCTATGAGGAAAGGCTGAGAGACCTGGGTCTGTTCGGCCTGGAGAAGAGAAGACTGAGAGGGGATCTCATCAGTGTGTATAAATACATGATTTAGGTGTGGGAGACAGGGGTATTTGGCCAGCCTCTTTTCAGTGGTTTATGGGGACAGGACAAGGAGTAATGGTCACAAGACAGAGCACAGGAAGTCCCGCACCAACATGTGAAAAAATTTCTTCCCAGTGAGGGTGACAGAGCACTGGGACAGGCTGCCTAGGGAGGTTGTGGAGTCTCCTTCTCTGGAGATGTTTAAGGCTGGTCTGGTCACCTACCTGGGCAGCCTGCTCTGAGGAACCTGCTTTGGCAGGGGGACTGGACCCAATTACCTTTCAAGGTCCCTTCCAACCCCTTTGATTCTGTGATTCTCTGTGGTGGAGGGAAGGTTGTTTTGTCCTTACCCACTCAGGGGTGACATACGTTGCGTCACCATGTAGTGACCACAAGGGTGAGGCATAACCAGGCATATGTGCTGGCATACCAGTGCCTCAGCCTCCTGTACCTGAGGCACAGAAAATGGTCATGCAGGCTGAGGGAAGCACATCTGTGAGGGCAAGTCGACTGACCTGCACAGTATGGCAGACAGGACAAGGCCTTTTCCCAGAAATTATGAGCTTTTCGAAGTCAAGTCCTCTTGGTGTCATTGCCTGACTCTAATTTAGTCTCCAACAGTCTGGAGATTTGTTAAGGGGAAAAAGATCTGCCACAGCCCAGCTCAGCAAAACTGTTATTTGGGCAGTACAGTCTGTTTTTCTCTGAGCGTGCTTCTGCTCCCAACCCTTGCTTTATCATTAACATCTGAAATTACCCATTTTAGTAATGGTTTGATTGGCCTTGGAGAATCTAATGGGGAGATCTCTGTGAAACAGCACAGTGAAAGAAAGGTGATTCCGTATTCATCCCAAATGTATGGAGATTAAATAAAATGAAATAATCTTTTGTTATATTTCTACAAAAAAAAGAAAAAAAGCAATTCAGAGGGCGAAAATGTTTTTATTATTGACAACATCAAGGAGTTCTTGGGGTCTGAATCTATCACTGAGAAATACCCTCTGCACATGCAGTTGAAGTCCATCAGCAGCAGAGGAATTTCAAGATTTAAAATGGTGTGTATAGTCCCCATGTAATGGAAATGCAGATATATTTGTAACACAATTGACAGATTTCATTTCTGAAAGACTGATTTTGCAGTTAAACTGGACTTTGCTTTGCTTAGGGAGAGCTGATCACTTTGACATTAAAGGTGAATAGCAAAATAGAATCATGTGCTATCTGTTTCTCCTTCAGGTAATGCAGGTCGCATCAAAAAGTTGTTTTTCTGCCCAGAAAATGTAATATGCTGTGGGAGCTCTTGGAGGGGTTTTCACAGAAACAGGGAAAAAGTAGAAAGTCTTCAAATTAAAGGCTCAAATATGGAATCTGGAAGCTGATTCTTATCTCTTTCACCAGCAGAAGAAGGTGAATATCTAGTGCTTAGGCTGGGAATGGTGGGATTAGCAACCTCTGTGGCCTGGCAAAAGTTTGCCCCCTGAAGGAAAACATGAAAGATAAGAGAATTCTTAGAACACTCTAAGCAATAGAGAAGCAGGAAAAAAATAATCATTTGGACCTAAAGTGTAAACGAAGTCTTACTACTGCAGAGCAGGGGCAGAACTGCAGGCAGGTGTGAAATAGAAGACAATCATACTAGGAGATAACTGCTTTCTTGGAAGTCAAAACAGTGAACTGAAAGTGAGCCTGTGAACATGCAGATTAATGAACCAGACTTCCTGACATGCCTGGGCTGTAGCTTTGGGTCTAGAAAGAGCTGCCACAGCCCTAACATACTGATAACAGACAGATAGGGCCCTGATATAGAAAGGAAGATTTCTGGCCTGTTAAAAATCGCCCCATCTCACAATCACAGTACTCAAACTGCCTGCAAGGGAGGGAACCCAGTTCCTTAAAAGGCTCTCTGTTCAACATTTAGGAATAATTAATGGAACAGATGGACAACATTTTTCTTTTGCAGTTCACCTTTGCACTAGAGTTTTTCGTTACATCAAATGTCTAAAGCGATAGACTGAGCTGGATTGAGGCTAGTGGGAAAAGTTCTGTGGCTGGATAATGGGATTTCCCTTTCTGACCAGCTCTTTGATTTGAAGGAGGTCAAAAATGTCTTGTGGGTTCCAATTACCCTTTGGGGTCTTCAGATACTGCAGCAAATCCAGCTTCTTCAACAGGGGGAAGCCTTGCTCATTTCCTCTCAGTTCAAACAGCTGCTTCATCAGGCTTGAAGCCTCACCTCTGCCGATGCTGTCATAGAGATCTTGGCTCTTCTGTGAATCCCACATGGCATCTGAAAGTGAAATAGCCCTGCTGCTGGCTGTGTGCACACTACCTAGAGCATTGTAGAGCCACATCAGGCGCTTCAGCCCTTGAAATGCCCTCCCTTTGTCATGCATGAGCTGATGCTCCGTCACTGCTCTTTTACTGCAAAGAAAGGGAAAAGTTCAGTTAGCAAACAAGCACAGCTGGGTCTAAGCTCCTATTTCAAAGTCACATGGGAAGCTGAAATGATGTGCGTACAGCCATTCCCAAAAGGTATACTTCGAATTTCCTTTAATATATGTATACATATATTTATACATAGTAACTGAGGAGACAGTGACAAAATGACCTTAGCAGGCTTAGAGAGCTCCTTGATCTTTCCCAGATTTTAGTTCTTTTCAGAGGTCTAAATACCAGAATAAAATTCCTTTTTCATAGCTGTAATGTTCTAGGATTGTTGAATTTGTCTCCTTCCTTCAGAGCTGTAAGTCAGGAGCAATTTAATTGAAATCAGTGGTGTCCATGAAATTAAAACAAATTCTTATTTTCTTAAGACATATCAAAATTTTTGAGCCAGGGAAGGCAGACTAATTCTAGGGTGCAAATATTTCTGGATTTCAGACTGTTTAGATGGAGCTCGCTGCAGCTATAGGCTTTCACTGCAGATTTGGATCTGAGTGGGAACCTAATTAGGAGATTTTAGTAAGTGCCATTTTCGTGGCTTGCCTTGAACATCCTTGTATGGTTTGTTGCACCGTGTTTAAAAACATCACTAGAAATGTACTTAACATGGTGTAACTGATGAATCTAAAAATGTAATTGTTATTATCTGTACTGCATAAAAGGTAGTAAAATGCTGCAGTATCAAATGCATAGAACTGTTCTTCTACTATGCCTGGAGTAAATGACAGCAGTGAAGAATACAACCTGTTAAATCAAAGGCAAGCAGTCTGCTAATGATACAATGAAAAAGGATGATATTGCTTACTTTTCAGTGTCTTGAGATGTCGCAAAACAGGCAAAAAAAATCATTGCCAAAAATGTAACCATCTGCAGAGATCTCTGGGGCGGGAACATTTTCTCTCTTCTTCAGATCTGATCAACAGGACAAGAAGTTGATAGTATGACCAAAAATCTTTCTTTCTCTTGTCATTCGTTCACCTGGCAACATGAATTTCAGCCTTTAAGCACTAGTAAAAGTGGAGCAATATACTATGTTACATCATCCAAGGACCTCCCATAACATCACAGGTGGAGTTGTAACATATACCAGTAAACAGCGAATAGATTACCTGGTAAATTCCTACGTTTCTTTGCTGAGAATCCTAAACATCGTTCCTCCATTTGCAGGCACAAGAGATTATTTCATTTGGAACTGGCAAGAGATCTTCATAATAAAACTTAGCAGAAATGTAACAAAAAGACCAGGATTGCTGCATAAGAAGTTTGTCATAAAACAAAAAGAATTTAAGACTGGACCATGCTGATCAAGTTAAAAGCAGTCCTGGGGATTCGGACATTTAATAATGCGACCTTTTCCATGAGCAATACAAGTGCCATTACTGACATACAAATCAGCCATTGGGCATGAGGATCATAGTAGACCAAAACCTGATTTTTTATTTATTTATCTTTTTCCATAAAGAAATGGATTTCTAGCTCAGGAGACACAACTACAAAATGTAGAAAGATTATTCCAATCTAAGTTAGAACTTTATTAAATTATGTATCTGCCTCTGCTGTTGGTATGCCTGTATCTACCCATCTTTTCAACCCTGCTGCTCCTTTAGCATCAGGTCTATCAATAAAATTTCAACACCCTTTACACTAAGTACTGTACCCTGCTTTTAGGATTGGCTTCAGCTTGTCAATTTAGTTATTTAATAGTGTATCCTGTATTAATTTCTGTATCAAAACCGAAATGGACAAGAAAACAAAAAATTGCAGCATATAAATTTTATATAAGAATAGTATAGATATGTTCCCATATAATAAGGCTACTCATTTTCTGAAGAAATATATATATTTTTTTTATAGAAGCGGTTTGTGTTAATAAAAAACTCCATTCAGCATCTTCCCAAATGAATTTTCTTTATACAAATTTGGATATTAAAATATCAATAACTGGATAAAAAAGCCAATTATATCATACATTTGGTTAGAAAAATTAAGCTTGTCCTTTGTAAGTCTATTCCACTCCTTTCTGAGTAATTTCCTTGGACAATATCAACTTAAACTAGACATTAAAGAAAAATGCATACTAGGTCTAATTAAACGATCTGTATTAAATACAGATATATACACATATATACACAAATAGATACATGCGTGCTTACATGCTGTATGATATTTTAGGCTATGTAAATGTAGAACTCCTGCTCACACACAGTGGTTAAACTATGGTAAAATACTGTGATGAACAGTAAACTATTTAATAACTAAAACGCATCTTCAACTTAAAAAGTTAACATCATCTACTTACTGTTGATCTTGCAGAGATTGTGGTGAAGTCCTGATCTGCACAGATGTGTCTACTTGCCAGTCTTCTTGTGATGTTCCAGTTGCAATTACAGCAAGTGCCTTTCACCTTCTTTTATACCTGCCCAGCAACCACAGAAACAATAGAAATGATCACTACAGCACTTTGTGACTAAGACTTTTCCTCTCATGTTAGTGAAATGAGACAGCTCCTTGTTTCCAATTATAATAAATCTTGGATTCTGAAATGTTCAGCTGTGACTAAGGAAAAGATCACAAGTTTGTGGAAAGTATCTTACACTTTTGCTGGCTCTCCTGATTTTGTTTGTTTGTTTTTGTTGTTGTTGTTGGTTGGTTGGTTTGTTTTGTTTCTTGAGAACTTTTTATTCTAACACAGTGTTACTGTACCCCAAGGTGATGGTAAAGCAATATTCAAACTTGTTCCACTATTGATCAAGATCTCTGGTATGCAAAAGAGATGACCCTCCTTTGCTGTCCTCACGGACCCATGTATATGATACTAATATTGCACAGGAGGAATCTAAATCAACAATAGTGATGAATTCTGTAATGCAAGTCATCACACAGTTAGCATGACAGGACAATTACTGGCAGAAAATCTGAGGAATTTGTAAATAACATCCCACTAGATTTTAATGCTCAGTACAAATTTCATTTAAACCATCAGATTGTACAGTAAAACGTTTGTTTTAAAACTCAGAAAATGAGGAGATAGGAAGAAGACTTATCAACTCATTAAACAATAAAAATGCAAGTAGTAGCTCAGGCAAAAAGCCAAATTCTGATATGACTTGAAACCATGCAACGTAATGAAATATAAACTTTGATACTCACTGTATGATCTCTAACCAGATAATTTTAATAGAATTTGGATGCTCAGGATGTGGATGGACCAGACCATTAGGCTGAACCACCAGTCTGTTTAGGAGGACCAGCCCCTATTTCTCAAAGTGAATGCATTTATCATCTCTGAGCAAAGAATCCCTGGAAAGACTGAAGAGAAAAGAGAAAATATGCTTAGTGTTGTTGTAAGCTACCCATTCATTTCACACAGACACAACCTTACCTTCCTGTTAAACTCAGTCTCGGGTGAATACAAATGCATTGTCTAACAACAGAGACAGGCCCTATTAGCAGTGCTCTTGCCATCTCATACTTTCTTGCAGCTTCTGTGGACACTAACTTGCTTTTTATTATATTCCTCATGACAGCATATTTTGAGCCCCACTATTTCACAGCAATCAAATAACCATTCCCAATTACATGAGCATGAATTGTTAGTGTCACTCATTAAAGAATACAGAGTGTATCACCAATTTAAAATGACATTTGTTAAATGTTGCTAAAGCAGAGGTCTACTTATCTGCTTCTTAGTTTCCAGGGCAGCTTGCAGTTACACTGAATTATCTGTCCATGAAGCCAAAGCTATAGTTACATCTTTAAGGAGTAATAATGAGCATTGATCAAAACCATGTCTAAAACATCTGGTCTAATTTATCCCTGAACTTTTCAAGTCTCCATTACATAATGGGCTTTCATTGAATGCAATTACTGTCTCAACTAGAAGAACTAATATTGCATTAATCCAAGTGACTGCAGGTAGATCAGAGAACTGGCATGGGATCAGTAAATGGGCACTTCAAGCATTCTATAATGGCCAAAGTGCATTGCCGTGGCTACCTGCTTCCATTGGATGTTTCTTTGTACCCAACGTCTTAGAAGAAGTTAAAATAACTTTCTAAAACCTCCCTAAGAGGTGTACATGAGAACAGACTGTGCTGAAGTAGTGACACATCTTTGAGAATCACCCAGTGCAAGGACTTATTGGCACTTACAACACAGAGGGAACAGATACATGCGGGGATTGATTTCCATGGTTTGCAGTATTTCTAAAGAAAACATAAGATGTCTTGATTGCACGGCCACACACATACTTAATGCTTCTGACTATGATGGAAACATTGCTAATTTCACAAGGAGAAATTGTACAAAGAGCAGTGTTACTAGGTGAAATATCCAGATGGTATAGATAAATCTCTCCAAAAGCCCTGAGACATCTAGTGCAGAAGAGTCCATTTTACCTGGGAAGCAATCAACAAAGCCAGCTGATTGGAATTTGTTTACCTTGGGCCTCCCTCAGAGCCATCAAAGGTTTTAGTCCTAGTTTCATAGGCTTTTGCTCCCACGCTCTAGCTTTTCCTGGGCTCAAAGCCTGCTTCACATTCACACTCTGCTGTTTTGTCACCTTTTTCAGCAGGAGCATTTGAGTGAGGAGGGCTGTGCAAATTATGGTTTCCTCATGAGTGATTCTTTTGTTTTGCTTTCCAGTCCTTTCCCCAGGGAGCCAGGTGGGGGAGGAAGGGAATATGGCTTGCTGCTCAGCATGAAAGAAAATGGAAAGAGAAAGCCTGGAGGCCCAGCTGAGGGGGAAGAAAGAATGGGGGGAAGGAACAGAAAGCAAAGAAAACACACAAATAGCTTTGTTAGGGCAAGGGGGATCCTCATGCCTGGAATTTTAAAACTTAATGAAACAAAATTGTACTGCCTCAAGAGAGATCCTCTGTACGGAGATGGACAGATGGATCTGGTGCATCTTTTCCATATGCTATTTTCTATTATTCACCAGCAAAAGAAGACTTGGTGCTTCCCTCACATAAAAATCCACCTTGTTTGTCACCATCCCCCTCAACTGCTCTTAGCCTACCAGACTAAAATTCATATGAGCTGTTCAGTGTGGTGTGTGGAAAGAAAGGCACCGCCCTGTTGAGAGGAAACTGTTTGACCACACTTGGATGGTAAATATAGTTCCCCTGAGCTGCTGGTGAAACAGCTGCTAATGAATGGCTGTTCTCCCTTCCTGGCCTCAGTAATTGAGAGATGAGAGGAAATAACACCTCACAGCAAACCCGGAGGCCACAGAGATTTTTGCACTTCCGCACCCTCATCACTACTGCTGTCACCATTCCTTTGCCCCCCAGGAGGAAGGAGCCAGCAGCAGCATCACCTTGGTAACCATTTAAGGGAGATGAAATCCAGTTTCTTGAAGCAGCAGGCTCCATCTAGGCCTCCCTTCTTCTCTGGTGGAGGGAAAGGGCAATTTTGTGCAAGTCAGAGAGGTGTAAATAATTGCATTTGCAGGGGGTAGGCTCCAGGGTCAGCAGATAGACTATGCGAGCAGTTGTAAATCTCAGCCCCTAACCCACTACATACTGCATCATCACAGAAAGAGCTCCAGGGGATTAAAATTAGAGTTGAGCAGCAGTGAGTCAGGCTTACAGAATTAATTTTTAATTTACTGATTTCAAGTCAGACTTAACAGAAGTACATGAGACTCACGGCTCTATCTGAACACAGTATCGAAGGTAATGATATTGTCCTGTAAAATCTGCCCTGGAGCCATGCCTAGGTCTGATTCTTTTTCCTTCTCCCAAAAAAGTCTCCAATACAGAATGTTTTTTGTGTGCAACAAATTCAGGTGAAGCTGAGGCAAAGCCTCCAGTCCCTTGTGCCACTTCTGTAAGCTTAGCCCTGGCTTAAAAGGGTTGCAGCATACCTGGAGAAGTGCTGGGAACCTCGACAAAGCAAAAAAACAACAGGAGGGGTATCTCCCGGTGCCAAGGGGCCTGTCTCCCATGGTGGGATCTGCCCCTGCCAGCCCCTACAGATGGGAATGCTGCCATCTGGTGCCCTAGTCCTGGTTCAGCTGGGCCAGGTGAGGAGGTGGGCAGGCAGGTGCTGACCCCATGTCAGTGAAGGGCTGTGGCTTATGGGCAGCCCTAACTCCTGCCGGAGAAGCAAGGGACCCTTGAGTTTACCTGAGAATCAGCTATCTTTTCTCAAGACCAAAGAGACTAATGCTAGAGGGGGTGCCAAGTCATTAATGCTTGTAGGACCAAGAAGGTGTTTCTTAAAGGACCAAATGGGCCAAGAGCTGGTTGAGGTTTCTTATTTCTTTATAGTGGCAGCAAATGGTGTACTGGCCCTGAGGGAGTAGTGTGTTAGTT